TCATCATGCTGCATCACCACTGTTTTCTTGCACTTCTATAAACTGCCTGGATGTGAGTTATGTGGCATTTATTTGCAAATGCAATGATTTAAAATTTCCTACTCTGCAGTGTACGGACACACACACACACACACATACACACACACAGGTTTCCAACACCGTCAGTTTCCACTGTCACGTACGAGCACTTACAGGAAACATGAATAACTCCATTTGGATCAGTCCAACGCTACATTTAGGGGACGGTTTTAATGAAAACCCTGCTCATGAGGTCATAGTCAAGGCAAATATTACGGCCATTTATTGGTCTGTTCCACAACAACATTTATTAGAATGAAATAAACAGGAAAGGGAGGCTTTGGCACAAAACCATTTGCCTGTTCTTTGTAACGGCGCGGCGTATACTTAGATATTTTATTTTTGTCTCTTGTGGTTACAGCATCGTGATGCATGGGCTCTGCCTGGAGAATCTATTTGCATGCAAATTTTTACATTTCCTTCTGCTTCAAACGCTTACTATGATACATGAACTGTATTTCACTAGACAAGGTGAGAGTGAATCTGAGTCGCAACGGATCTACTTGTTTCTCTGTGATTGTTTTGTGCATCTTTATATATGTGTGTGTGTGTGTGTGTGTAGAAGGAGAACGAGGAGACAACGTCACATGTACTTTCTCTGACACTCATTTTTCCACTTTGTTTTTGTCTGATCTCATTTGTTCCTTTAGGTCATCGAGAAAATTCCTCCATCTGTGATTTCCAGCCCTATTCCTCTGTGCCCTTGGCTTCCTGAGGTAAAACTTGTCCATATTATTTATTCTCAGAATTTGTTTTTTTTTTCTGTTGTTTTTTTTCTGGCCTTCGAAGTCAATCAAACACAGACGCTGTGTAGATTTTATACAGCCTGATGGTAAAACACCAGTCAGACATAATAATGTAATATTAATCTTGCCTTAATAATTCATCAGAGTTCCATCTTAGTTTAGCGAACAGTTTGTCCACATGGCCCTAATGTACTGGAGTGTCAATTCTCATTCATATGATTAAGAGCAGACTCTGTGATTGTTTAAACTCTCTCTACATCATATCTCTCTCCGGCCTGTAAAACTGCTGAGTACTACACACACACACACACACACACACACACAGACACACACACAGACAGGCGAGAGAGTGCCGGTCACATGAAATCAACAGTACGATCACAGACTGTAAATCACAGACTCAGATGTTGTGTTTAAAGTGATGGAGAGAAAACCTTACAGTTTGGTGGTGGAAATTTGATTTCCATAAATGTTTCACTGTTGTTGGTCAGGCTGTGGATGACATGGACTATAACCATTGTGACCTGTGGCCTTGGACATGTGTGTGTGTGTGTGTGAGAGAGAGAGTTTCTGACTGGCCTGAGGGAAACGATCTTCAAGTCATAGTTTTGATGAAAACTGAAAACCTGACGTTAAAGTCCTGTCACATTTAGACTGTATGTCATTTTCTTTCTCTTCTTGCAAGAATTTGGGATTTTTACTGTGAATTTGGACAGAGTTTTGGGAGGTGTGTTCCTGTCAAAATGAAGGTCAAACATAAGAATATTATATTAATAACATGAACATTGTTTCTGACAGCGTTAGTAGCCTTCATATTTAGTAAGTTTAATATGTAAGAAAATAAAAGTTTCATGTGAAAGACGCAGCAGTTAAATACAACTGATTAAGTGAAGGGGGAAGAAAAGTTTAAAGATCTGAGATTTGGTCAGAACTTGTTGTTTCAGTGATTGAAAGACGTCCTGTAAGAATCTCAGTCAGCAGCCAAGAAACCACTCTTTAGAAAAAGGGAAACGAAATGGAATCAAAATCAATGACAAAAAGAACAGTAGAGCAGAGTGATGGATCAAGATTGGCAACATGGAGGATGGACCACCCAAACCACTCACACCAGGGCCAAAACTAAAGAGGAACTCTGGGAAGTCCTGACAGACACCTGGAGACCACTTAGGAAAACGTTCTATACGGTTAAATATATCCTACATATTTTCCCTTTTTAGCTGCAAACCCATATTTGATGTTATCAGAGAGCACCTTGCCTTTTCCCCAATGTCAGCTGAAAATGGTTCCTGCTCCTGCTGCACCCCCCCCCCCTCCCCCTACAGGGCACAGAGGTTGGGAATAAATACAAAAACATTACCATATATTGTGTTGTAGCTCGATAATTGAGATCAAAATAAATACGTCAAGTCGTCAAAGTTTTGCTAGAAAAGAAGAGAAAAAAAAATCCAGTGGTGACCGAGGAATTTGGAATCACGCACACAGTGTGTGTGTGTGTGTGTGTATTTGTGTTATTTACTCGATTGTGCATTTTGTGGAGCAGTGGGATCACAGTCTGGCACCGTCTCCAGCTCCACTCTACTTCAGGAGGGGAAGAAGGACAAAAGCCATCAGGGAAGACAAGGACAAATCATTTTTAGATGAAGTGTTCTAAGTGCCGTGATTCTCCTCCCACGTCATCACTGTGAATTAGGTGCCCTCCTCGTGCTGCTGAAGGCTGTCGAATATAAACAATGCCAGGGGAGCGGATGTTAAGAGAATGAAAGTGGAAAACCATGAGAGTGTCTATCTTAGTCAGCCTCGTAAATCTGGGATCCCTCGCCACGCCGCTTCCGTATAGTGATGTCTGACAACCTGCCAGCCGAGCGTGAGCGCGGTGTGGTCCGGTCGATCGCGGTTTTAGGCACGGCAGACGTTGCAGGCGAAGCCGTGTCTTTGTTTTATGCAAATCCATGCATATGAGGCGGGCGTCGGGGTGTGTGTGCGTGGTC